ATATATGTGTGTGTGTGTGTGTGTGTGTGTGTGTGTGTGTGTGTGTGTGTGTGTGTGTGTGTGTGTGTGTGTCTTGCTGTAATGTCTCGTAATTTCAATGTGTAATCGCACTTCTATACACACTTTGAATAAATGAATATTTAGGGCAAGTGGTTTTTTAAAAATAGACGAGAGAGATCGTGATTTCTTCTATCTACTACGTTTATCGTGTTATCTCTCGTTGGTTTAGAAATGATTATCTACAGACCAATTAAAGGGTATATCTTTATTTAGGGGGGGGGGTATATCTTTACTTTCGACGAGTTCTATTATACTCGCCGTTGTAATTGCATAAAGATCGATTTTATCGCGGTATATAAATGATTATAGTTGAGCCACAATGTCCGTAGCGTGTCTGTAATTTGCGTGATCGGTCGAGTCATAATAAATCGGCATGATCGTTTATTTTAATCCGCAGTCAGCTGACTCCGAAAGAAAGCGCGTGGAAATATTTTCGTTGCACGCGATGCGTCAGCATTCGATGCTCGATCTATGTCTGCGATTTGTCTTCGTTAAAAATCAGACAGTCGCGTTTTATCTAAGTAGATCAATCCATTTCTATTCGAGATTTACGTTGTTATAAAATGCAACCAAAAAATTAATGGCATTGATATTATTACGTGGTGTAGTTTGTTTAAATTCTTTCATAATTATTTAAAGAGAATTAATTGGTCTATTTTTTTGTTTGTTGTTTAGCCACGACCTGGAAGAAGGCCTCGAAGACGGCCAGGAAACGCGGCGCAGTTACAGACAACCCCGAGGGTACAAAGCCCGGTATCACAACAGCTTGAAAAAGGTAAGTTTTTAAATAAAAATTTTCTCGAAATGCTGGTGTAATTATACCCTTGTTTATTTATTCGTTTTTTTTTAAATTATTCCGTCAAAAGAGATTCAATTGTCAAAAAATTTACAAAACAAAATTGCAAAAATATCATGCGAATCATAATTGACTGTCGTTTGAGAAATTAGAAAGTAATATTTTATTAAAATTATTGTACATATGCTATATATGATCTAACAATAAATATGCATCTATTAACGTTATTACATGAAGAAACTGTGTCAAAGAATTTTGCACCTGCAGACATTCGCGATATTCGAAGTATAATTAAATCAACAATTTCGAAGTAAAGTTTCTCCGCTTCGTCGAGATTTTTCTGCAAATGATAGTCAATTTCGAATGCGCGAAACTTCACTTGCCCGAGAACGACCGGGAGACGATAATCGCTAGTGGCGTGTTATTTGAAATTGAGATTTAATGAGAACGCAAATGGAGGAAACTCTCTCTCTCTCTCTCTCTTCTC